AAAACTATATTTGGTCTCGAACCTTCCAACTCTTGTTCACTACGCCGGTGTTTTACCAATAGGCCACCAATGCCACGGAAATTTTTACCTTTAATCTGTCTCTTATGTTACATCTTTTGTTATAATTACAGAAAAATCTTGTTAACTACATTTGTATTTTATAAAACTTTCGTTCGCTCCGAACCTCGGAACTCCTGCACATTAAGCCAGTATTTTACCAATAGGCCACCAATGTCACGGATTTTTTTTACATTTAATCTTCCTCTTATGTTACATCTCGCTATATAAGTCAAGAAAAATCTCATTACAAAAATCGTGGTGGTTTCGAACCACGGACCTTCTGTTTACAACGCAGGTGCCTTACCTCTAGACCATCAGAATATCTTTGCTACCGCTTTCTGCGGTCCTCATCATATTCTACGACTTGGTTTATAGCTGCAGGAAATTCGTATTTATTTATTCATTTTCCAATTTCTATTGACAAAAGACAGCGCGGTCTCGAACCCCGTACCTTCCCACCAAATCTATACAAATTTGTTACCTTCACCGTCCTCATATAGTACGACTAGCTTCCTACATGCACAAATTTCTTAATTTTTTTTTCTCACAAACACGTATCTTCTAAACCATACGCCAGTGCCTTACCATAGGCCCTCCATGGTTATGAAAACTATTCGCCTTCGTCTTCCACATTTCCAACCGCTTCGTTTCCACAAAATTCCTCTTTACTTCTTGCTTCGTTTCTAAGTCATTTTACTACTGACGGTTGGCCAGTCACTTTCTCTTAACCTTTAACGTCTGAATTGCCCCGATCGCGCCAGTAATGAGTATGGTCGTTGTGGCCAAAGTAGCCCGTTTTGGCCAGTCGGGTATTTAAACCCCGCTAGTGGAAGCGCGCGCACACGCCGCTAGTAGAAGCGCATGCAGAGTCCTAAATATTTATTTTTATATGTAGTAATTACCAGACAGACTTTAGTAAAACCATAATAGAGGATTTAAAATACCTAAGTGAACAACAGCAAAAAGGAGTATACGTATGAGTTATGCCCAAACTCATCCACGAGCCAATAATTTTATTGCATGTTCTGCATTAGTGTGTTAAAAATATATAGTAAAATTCGATGTTCATACCTTTATTGTTGTTATCTGCTTGATGTATACACGTATATAGGCTGAAATGAAACTACAGTATTCGATTTCACTATGAACGCACAGAAAACATATCGCACTCTGTAGTTCAGCCACGATGCAACTGTCTGTTCACGACCCTAGAGAGGGCAATAATCTCTTGCAGCTATAACGGAAGATCTTAGCACTGAAGAAGGAACCTCTCTAGCTTTCTCCTGAATGGCCGAAAGCACAATCGGTAAGAAGGTATGCTAACATAGCAACTATTTTTAGTGCCCCCCTCCAATACTTTGTTCGCTAGAATAGCAATAAATACTTTTACACCCAAGATCTCTTGTACTGCAGAGGGTCCCCCCCGCAAACTATTTCAATTTTTGAACTGTGTTCAATATCACTAGTCAAGGAGGATGAGGTTGGCAGGGCATGTAGAACGAAGGGGGAGGTGAGGAATGCATACAGGATATTGGTGGGAAAGCTAGAAGGAAAGAGA